GACTATATCTGCTGTGTAAACATCTTTACCTGGGATGCCCTGCCTTAAGATAGACCAGTGAGAAAGGTTGAAATGCAGTTCAACCACAGCCCCTTCCAGATAACAGTGGTAGAAGCATGGGTCAATCAACTTCCCTTCAAGGTCATATGCAGGGATAGGAATGACCCAATGCATCTGCCTGATGCTGTCCAACCCTCCTCTGGCAGCATCACTGAAGGTGGGCCAGTTTTCAATAGAAAAAATAGGATCAAGATCTGCATAGGCACAAGAAAGGTACATAGAGGGTACTAGAAGCCACATACCATTGGTCTTGTCCTTGTTGGACTGTGCTCCTGAACCAGCACCATCCCATGTGGCAAGGTTGTCAGTGTCTAGAGCCTTAGATGTTGTGAGTCAAAGAATAATTTAGAATTGGATGTTAAAGATTACCTTGAATAAGACATGATGCAATCTGAAGCAAGGGCCACATGGACCAGCTGTAGTGAAAAGTCCCTGCTTCATAGTAAACTTAGGCATTGCAATAGCATCTTGCAGCCAACAGAGGTTGTCCATCACATTGGCCCAGTCAGTGGTAAATGGTGTGATGTTGGGCATTTGAACAACACAAGACAGCTTGATAATGGCAAACTCTGGCCAGATTTCACCAGGTCCACAATAGTTGGCATCTGCTATAAGCCAGTAGTCATTGCTGTTGATCTGGATGATGGTGGAGATGGGAGCCAAGTCAGAGGAGCTGTCATCATGAGGGGGAGAAGGTAAATGCTTTCTGGCACCACCCTGAGGTTCAGCTGGTTTGATTGCAAGTCAGCCTGCATGACCATCATGTACCCAGTGGACACTGTCCTGGAGGGACATGTCACCAAGCTATAATTCCATCTCAATGAGTCATTGATGGGCCTGGATGAAATGGGTGGGAGTGTTGGGTTTTGCAGGTTTGCCTGGCATAGTAGACAAGAGAGTAGAGCATGGATTTAAAGGACAGAATTGGTGTGAGAGAATATGGTATTGAGGGAATGGTGGGAGAGAGTGAGAGGATTTTAAACTTTTGGAGATGGTCTGTGCACAGAAATCAAAACACATCAGGGTATTGATGTTTTTGGAAGGGCACACTTGCCATGTATATGTTTGAATGTCTGCACATGGTTAGTGCAAAGTTAGCATTCAGACATGCATTGATTGTCTGACCCAATGGGAGAGCAATGAGCACAAAACCATGTGCTGACCAACTTGCATCTCTCAGTGTAAAGGAAATCACTGCTTGATTGAAGGGCATACTTACCTTCTCCTGCAAAGAATGTCAGAAGAAAGAACTACTACTAGAAAAAGTAGTGAATTGCACCTCACAAGACCAAGTTGAATTCCTTTGTAAAGCAGCTCTGGAGAAAAGCAGCAGCATCCCTGGGTGAAGTGTCCTTCAGAAGTGCAGACAGGAGGATGAAATGCAACCCAGGTGGATGGTCCCATGCCTGGACCTGGATGATGGAGAGGAAGGAGAAGAGCTGCAAGCAGATGAAAACAGCAGAAATGATCCTTTGAAATACCTAGTGCTGCCAACAGACATGGAATGGAAGGCATGTTACTGCAAATTCTATGAAGCCACTTCAAGCACCACTCTTGCCACAGGCATATAGGGTGTCTGTGCCAGGGAATGTGGAGCAATGGATGAGAGTCTGCATAAAATGGTGCTCAGTGACATACCAAATTCACAACGACTGGTTCCTAAAGTCCCCCATCCTGCTCACAATGTCTACAATGGCCAACTACTTCAGCCAGAAGCAGTAGAAGTTGATGGTCCACATACCACTACTTCTGTCTGTCAGCCATGCTTGGATGAATTGCAGAAGCCCAGCAATAAACCAACATGGTATTCCTAGTTCCACTAGAAGAGGATGTGTATACCACTACTGACCTCATCACACATTGAGCATGACAGCTACAGAAATGCCCTGAGGACCTTGAACACATCAAGGGGCTAGTGTTGAAAGCTTGGTATGCCCCTGCCCATGACTTCGAGAATCAATTCTGGCATACCATCTGCAATCACATCTTCGACCCTTGGTCCCTGGTCCTGGTAAGGAACTCATGTGTCGAGAAGGAACTTGACAGGAAAACAAAACTGCAGTACCTCGGACCCATGGTAGTCATTCAACAAACTAGAGGAGGATCCTACATCTTGGGGGAACTTGATGGGGCCATATCACATACTAGGTATGCAGCCTTCCAGCTGTTCCCTACCTGCTTAGGGAGGGCACACAACTGGACATCACACAGATCACAGGCCTGGATGAAGAAGCAATTGACAAGATCAAGGAGTTGTTGTTGCACTCACCCAATGAGCCAGGAACTGGTGACTTCAACACTGAGGACTAACCTCAGGCCCTTGTTGTTCATCCTTACATGTTCTTCTTGTCCCTTTTATTACATACATCTTCCTTCTGAGAATAGCATATGCAACTAGGCATGCTGTGTCTTAATACTTAAAAACAAAACCACAAACAAAACCACAAACAAAAATCATAAACAACAACAAAAAGAAAACTAGAATAGAGGAGAAGGGTCTAGGGCATCAGAGGAGAGCAGAGGGCACAAGCTACTTTATGAAGTTATTTAATGCTCCTTCCTCCCCAGAGCAATCTTGCAGAGTGTTGTGATCTCTTCAGTGTTGGACACAATTACTGCCTGGAGAGTGGCAAGGGATCTCAGGTTATGGAGGTTAGATTCCTCAGTGGCCTTGAGACAATGAGAGATATCAAAGGAGGAGGCCAGGGGGTAAGTGAGGTGAGGTAGGTGGTGGAGGGGGACTGAGGAGACCTGGGAAGGAGTTGAAGGGTCAGGGATGGTGGAGAATGTAGGTGACATGCTAGAGACAGAGGGAGATAGAGGAGGAACATTGAGGGCAGGCAATATGGGGCCAACCAACATGGATGTAGGGGGAACAGCAGTAGTGTGAGTGGATGATTGCTGGCATTTAGTCCCCTGGGCCAGAGTAGCTTGGGACATTTGCTGCTGCCTTTTGACACTTCTTGAGGGCTTCCAAGGTAGTGAGGGCCTAGAGAGAGGTGATTGAGCACAAACTAGTGTCAGTTGAGCACAAAGCAAAAGAGATGAAGGGGACTCATGTTGGTTGGGTTAGGCCCCCATGAGCACTGTTTGTGACGATTTAAACACAAGGAACAGGCCCTGTCAGCTTCGCTTGAGCACCAGTAGCCAGACCCTGTGCACAGTGTACAAGGACTGTCCATGAAGACAACTCCTGTCTCAGGGTCCCCAGCCACAAACAGCTCAATCTGCATGGGTTGGACCATCAACCACATAAGAGAAGTACATCAGTAAATCACTTTGAGCTGTGGAGCTCTCCACAGTGCTCCATAATATGCAGAGTCCCCTAGCTAGGTCCAGGCTGGACAGATGCACCCAACAACACTTTTTGCTATGGCTAGTTGCCTGTTACTATGGAATGGTCACATTGTCATGGAACTTTCATGCTTAGATATCACTGTACAAAACTGGCCAGACTGTATTCTCCTTGGGGTGTTGTCCAGTACTCCCCATCTCAATGTTTACTCTGCAAACATGTGATCACTCCACAACTGGGAACAATTCACAGAAGGTATGACAGGAACAGGAGCATTGGCATCAGTTGCATACTATGTGTAATGACAGGTATGACAGGACTAGGTATTATGAAATCAATCAAGGACTGCCTGAATGTGCTGGTACCTCTCTACATTTGAATCAACCTCTTGCAGTGCAGCCCTGATACAAGGAGTCAGTGCAAGCATGTCGGCTGCCCCAGTACTTACCATCCTTCCTTTGCCCACTGAGAAAGCTGATCACACAACCTCACACCATGATAGGGATAATGAAGGATGTCATTCAGCACCTTCATCATGCCATGGAACATGGAATTGTAAGCCTTGCCAGAGAATTGAGGCATCATCTTTCCTGTGCTGTTCTTTGCAAATCCATCCAACACACAATGATACTGCGAGAAAAGTTTGAGTTGCAGTGACTCGGGGTGTAAAATAACTCACTGTGGCTGTGATGAGAGCCAGACAGGAAAGGGGAACTGAATTGTTGAAGGACTCAGGATGCTTATCTGCAATTCGATAGGTCCTGGTATAGTAGAATTGTATGACAGCTTCCTTGAGGGCAGGGTGAGCAAAATTCCTGGTTTTTCCCTGATAAACCAATCTGTTAGTAGTGCAGACAATGAACTGTGTGAATGTACATTCTCATTGAAACCATCTTGCAGGAAAAGCGAGTTGTCAAGGAGCTTTGTGGCAGCAGTCTCTATCCATTGTACACAAACCTGTGCTGCAACATCAGAAGGAGGGATAAGGTTGAATGCAGATGGCATGGTTGCCAGTGTAACTGACTTCAATTCCGAATGCCAGGTAGATATATGACCAAGGAGCTACTGGCAGTATGTCAGTAGCTGTAACCAAAAGACAGGACTACTTATGAGGCATGCCATATCTTGCTTGTGGTCAGGCCAGTAACCTATAAAGTTAGGATAATGAGACATGTATAAAGTGAAAATATTGTTACTCACCATCTTCAAATTGCACACCACATTGATTCCACTCAATGACGACAGTGACGAGCACCTCTGTTATGGAGAGGTTGAGGTTGTGAGATTTTGATGGGAATGGGTTAGAAAGTGCATGTGCAACCCTGCATTCTCACTTAGCATCTTCAAGACAGTCCTTCCATACTGCCTTGTAAAATCTCAGTTGTGAAGGCAATGGGCCCTCATCCTTAGCTTTCTTGGAGTTATGAGGGGCTCTAGTGCACTGAGATACTTTGTTGACCAAGTCATGCACAAGGGTCAGAAGATCATGATCAGGAACAGGACAGCCATTAGTGCAATGGTGGCATTCAAGAATGTCAATGACAGCACCATGTTGGGAACCCTAAAATAACAATCTGAATAAATAAAGCTAGCAGGAATGGCATTTTCGTACCTCTGGCTGAGCCTTGTCCTTGGATTGTAAGCTTCACAGAGCTGCATTGTCATCCTCATTGTGTGAGTACTGAAACTTGTGGTCAGGGGGTAAGGAATTGTGGTAAATAGGATTGCTTGTCATCATTTCTTGGGAGAATCCTAACAAAGAACATTGAGCCAATACCATAATAACCTCTGACACATACCAGGATGAGTTGATTGCCTAAGATTCATTGCACCCCATCCAAATGCATCGTCCTCATCTTTGTCAAACTCATTGTCAGAGACCTCACCAGCCTCTGCATCTGGTGGGTTATTACTCAAGGACTCTGACTCCTCTTCTGAGGAGCCCTCTGATGACAGCTTCTCTGAACTCTTGTGGCAAATGTCAGTGGTTGCTGAAGTTTGTCTCGATGAGAGCAAGCTATCAAGGGAGGGGTCGATACAAGAGTCAGGGATGGTAGCAGGTGGCTGGTGGGGGATAAACCAAGACTGGTAGTTGGGCTGGGGTGTTGGTGGATGAGATGTATTACTGGACCTTGGTCTCCCTGAATCATGGCAATATAAGGATTATTGAGCACTTTAAGGTCAGGCTCCATCCCAGGAGGCATGATATGACCTGGCTGTTGAGCCAGAACACTGAAACCAAAGTGATGGGAGTCTGTGGGGTGCTGATGGAAGACAGGTGTCGCTACTGCTGTTGAAGACTGAGGGATGGAATTCTGAAATGAACATTGTATATCAGTATGAAAAGACACTCACCAGAGGCATATCAGCTGAGCTAGGACCATTCACAATGGGAGGCACATAGGGTGGTGGGGCAACATTGGACTTTGCAAGTGGTTAGCTTGATATTTGCAAATAACTAGAACTGACCTTCAGTTTTGCATTCTGACCAGCACTGTGGCCCCCACCCTTTTTCCGCCAAGTGGGCGGAGGTGCAAGAGGATTTACAATGGAATTGTTGGGGAGATCCATTGACTTTCATGGCCATGTAGCTCAGCCTTCAAGGGCAGTACCAATCCACTCCAATTGCTCAGCCCTTCCACCTGAACCTGCCCCTGCCCTTCCGCTACAATGGAGTCCTGCTGTGGCAACAGACTGAGACTCTTTGAGATCAATGTGTGGGCTTCCTAGATACTCATTTTTTGCAGGTCAAATGCTTCCATCAGCCTCTGGTCAATGTTTGGCTTTTTTGCTATCCTTCTTTTTCAGTGGGATTGTTCCAGATTGGGTGGACATCTGAAGGTACAAGCAGTTAAACAGAGAACAGTATAAGATGGAAGCCTGGAAACCATGACAAAATGACATCTTGTGAATCCATATAAACATTGACAGGTTCATCATGAGACATAAAACAAAATGACATGTGGAGACAGTTACCCACTGCAAATGAATTGAAACACTTTACATGTAACTTACAGAACATGAACTAAACATAAAATTCATGCTAAGACTACATGCCTTTGAAGCGTTTATTGGGTATAGGAGGGTTATCCATGCTCCTTACCTCTTCACAAAGGCATTTAGAAGACATAATTGCTGAAGACATAACATCCATATCATTCTCCTGACTCAGACACATGCTTGAATTAAGCACTTTGTGCTGGGCAATGATCTGCTGGAATGCATTCATCACCTCCAGTGGTTTCTCATATGGCATGCTGGCCAAGAAACGATCAAAAAGGGAGATAATGTCAGAGAACTGCACTGCAGTTCCACTCAGCAGGGACCACTCAAGCAATATGCACCACTCATTAGCCAGAGGGATTAGATCTTGAAAATATTGTGAGACCTTGGAATCCAGCCTCAATTCAGATGGGTCATTAAGGAATGTGAACTTGGCACATCTGGCAATTTTGAGATCTTTGGCTGCCTTTTCACTCCACAAGCCAAGAAGTGTCTTTTCATGGCTGATATCTTGATGCTCATGGCCAAGTGGCACATCATAAAGGATGAGGATCCAGATGAAAACATAGAACAGGGATTCAATATTGTCCACAAATGTATGGTGTATAGTAGTAGGGTGATTGATGAATATGTGGGTGAGAGAGGTGCTTTTCTGGATCAATGGGACATTAGTCTTTCCACTTTTAGTGATGGCTTCCTTGAGTTGGCAAAGGGTATTCACTGAAAGGAAGGGGACTGTGCCCTTTGTGTACTATCAGCTTCGAGTTCCAAAATGTTTTGTGGAGTACTTACTGTGCTGCCCAAGTCATATTCCCCCTGTAACATGACCCATACAGCAAATTCCCAGTCAAGGAGAAAGCTGTGCGACCCATTTGCAAAGTCCTCAATCATTGTATTGTTGATGCTACAATCTCGATGGAGGACACCCCTCTCGAGAGCCTGCTGTTGGACTGTTAAAGTGATTAGTATTGATTTTACAAGTGGAAGAGGATACATACTTTGTAAAATATCTCAGATGCATGAAACAAGTTCCTTATTTGTCTTGAACATTACCATTGGCCTTGCACATGGCTTCATAGCCAATCACATGTGAGTTCTCTGAGACCTCATGCATGATTGCCACTTCTCATCATGATATTGTTCAGTTTTATTGACAATGCCCAGCTCAACCTTGACAACTGAGTAGTGTTGCAACTTGGGAACTCTGTCAATGTCCTGGACCAGCTTCATCATGTTGACTTTGTGCAGGGCTGTCCTCTGCTCTGACTCCTCCACCCAATAATCCTTGATGATGTAGTATTCCCCATTGTAGCATGCAAGGTAACAAACAGTACCCCTTCCTAGAAAGCCTGTGCTCGAGAATAATACATTGAGCACCTCATAGAAGGTCTTGTTTACTTGGATCCTCCTGATTGCTGGGATGTGTTTGGGTGATGCAGGAGTTGGGAGTGAGTTTGCACTGGAGAGGATGCCTGACTCCAAGTGAGGAGAAGGTGTTGCAGGAGAGGGGAAAGGGGAGAGAGGTATTGCAAGTGCTGTGCATTTGCAGCTGTGTGCAGGATGGGGGGATATCTCTATGGTCAAATTGAAGCCAAGGGTTGAGTGGGAGCCAAATGCAATGGCACATACAATGTATATGAAGACTTCTGCATCAGTGTGGATATTTATAGAGGGTGAGATTGCACCACCAGAGTGGTCGTAAAAGTGAAGTCAAAGAAGTTCACTATCAGTAATTGATAATCCAAGGACATAGCACCTCCAGGCTGGTCAATGAGGGTTAGATATGCCTTAGTGTCCATCATCTTCCCAAGGCAGGATGCTGGCTTGAAAGACTCCTTTGAGTACTTGGTGATGACTTTGGGACTTAACCATGTAATCTCATTGAGGGATACTGGGGTGTTATCAACAAGGATGAGGTCAGGCTTTCAGGAATAACCTGTAGAACCTCGCAAGCTGGTTCTGCTCCAGTCTGCCATCCATTGATGCTGGGGTTTGCTGGATAGACTGGGCATCATGGATTTGGCAGCAGTTCTGATAGCATTGAGAAACAGAGCAACTTGCTTTTCAAAGCAGAGCTTTTCTGATTCTACCAGCAGCTCTGAGGCAAGTGGCCTGGGTTGCTTGGGAGGTGAATCAGAGCCTGGGGGTGGATGAAGCTCCCAGTTCCAGTGCTTTCTATCATTGTCATATAGGCTGACCAGGCTGTCCTCTGACAAGCCACCCTGGTTGAAGGAGGCAGAATAGCTATGGACACATGCAGGAATTGTTTTCAGAGGGACAATCAGGGACCTGGGAGCTATGGAGGTAAATGTATCTCTGAAGGACTCAAAGATAATATTTGTAACATAACTGAGGCTCTGAGGAGAGCTAACTTGTATCCATGGTTCATGGATGATGGTGCCCTCAAGTTCTGAAGTAGTGAACTTGTCCATAACATGAACCATGTGGCCATGTTTGGGCAGGGGGAGAGAACCAATCAGCTTGTAGGTACCATCTATTGTTCAATATCTGTTTTTGTTCAAGTCTTTGGACATTTCTGAGGGTTGTTGACAAGTAGGGTCACACATTTGAAAATGGTGCCACCACTCAAAATACTGATGCATTTCAACATTAACATGTAATAAGCTCTGGTATACAGTAAGGTAACATGTATGTTGACTAGATGGGAGGAGAGTCTGAATGACTTAGGGCAAAGTACATATTTTTGTCAAAGTATTTGTTGAGATAGAATTTGGTAGAATGCTCGAAGGAGTTGTATGCCATCAATTAATTATCTGCAGTTTGCCCGAAGCAAGGTATGAAATGTGCGAATGCCCAGACCTGACTGAGTGGGATGACATTGCCAAGACATTGACCATTTGCTCTCTTTGCACACCTAAGGATATGTAGGTGTGTTGCATCTTCAGCTGCTATGTCAAAATGTTGTATGTAGACCAAAAAACAGTCTGTCCATGACCATCTTACCCCCCTCTTGCCAAAAGGGCACATCAGGAGATGGAGCTGGCCAACAACATGACCTAAGATACTCTTGTGAGTGACACAGAAAAGTAGTGTGGACCATGAACCTTTCAGGCCACTCTCTGGCCATTTGAAATGGGGGTCCACATTGATGATAGCTGCATCATAGTGGCCAAGGGTCCAGGTCTCGCCAGGTGGAGAACAGAAGAGAGTCTGGGCAGGGAGGATGTCCATGATATCATGTATCACCATGTTCTGCAGCCACATCTTGCACCAAACCTGCAGATTGGTAAAAGGCAGGGTTGAAGAGCTTGATCCCTGACATTAGTGGCGCTCAAGGTGGCACTGGAAGCGCTCTGGAAGCACTTTGTCTGTGTTCTGGCACTGGCTCTGGAAACATGTTCTGGCCACTACATTTTCAACTCCAACAAGCCAAATGGTGTGGCATCCCGTCGGACTCAAAATAAATTACAGTAGTTTTAGCAGTATATCAAATAATTAAATAGCTAAGTCTTGAAGAACAATGCCCCACGAATCTCTCTGCAAAAATCTCCTCAGACAACTTGATGAAGCTAGCTTGGAAGTAGCAACAGCCAGGCTGGAAAATGCGTGTCGCGAAATTGATAGTAGCGATAATAGTGACTCAACCACAACATATGGGGATTCCGATTCATCTCAGAGCATCCTCTTCGTTACTCCGCCATCTCCGATCTCTCCGATCTCAATGGATTCCAACTCCAGCGTTTCTGATGATACAGACTCGACGGTTGAGAGGGATAGGTGGTGTGGACGGCTCCTGAATGCGATTGAGGCTCAGAAGGACGAAGTAGAGCATGCGCGGGTTCTTGAAAAACACGCTGTACCATTGATGCAGTCATCACAGCTTGGCCTGCTCGACCATTTTGCCGACCATCGCCCTCATCTGTTCCTTAGATGCCTTCATGTATGGCCAGAAGTTTTTGATCGCATCCTTGATCAAATAAGTAGCCACCCAATATTTCATAGTAGCTCTGAAAATCGTCAGTTGCTGGTCACCATTCAACTCGCAACTTTCCTTTTCTGTGCGGGGCATTATGGGAATGTGGCATCACCAGAGGACGTGGCCCAGTGGGCTGGGGTTAGTGTGGGATCAGTGATCAATTTCACCAATCGGGTCATGGTTGCGATACTGGATGAGCATGACACATTTGTCAATATTCCCCCTCATGACTCGGAGGATATGGAAAGAGCGTGTACCTTCACTGAATCGCAGACATGTCCGGCATGGAGAAACGGCGTCTTTGCTGCAGATGGCTCATCGATTCCGCTCTTTGAAAAGCCCCAAATATTTGGGGAGAGCTTCTATGACAGAAAATCCAGGTATTCGCTCAATTGTCAGGTGTGTATTCCAATGCACGCAAAATGGAATACTTACCACTCATAGCTTGTTATCATGCCGCACAACCTTCTCGTGGTTGACTATGGGCTTGGTCACCCTGGAAGCATCCATGACACATGGGCATTTCAAGGTACTCGCATCGCATCACGACCAGGAGACCTTATCCTCGAAGATCACTGGACCTGGGCAGATAGCACATATCCCATGGAGGAATGGTGTGCTGTTCCTTTTAAAAAACCCAAGGGCGGGCGGCTATCTCGTGATCAGAATTTATATAACAAATATCTTGCTAAGGTGATACTTACCTCGTACTGGTATGCATGCTAATCACATTGAAAGGTCTGCGTCTGCATTGAGCACGCATTTGCTGCCTTGAAGGGTCAATTTCAGAGTCTCCATGAGCTGTGCTTGAAAATCCGGAATGAGAGGGATGTTAAGGTCGCAGTTTACTGGGTAATGTGTTGCATCATCTTGCATAACATGGTGATCCATTTTGAGGAGGAAATGGTTGGCATTGTCGAGCCCTCGAGTTGGTGGGCAATGGAGGAGGGGTTGGGCCAACAGGACGGTGACATGGTCATGGTAGGAGAGGCTGTGGGAACACCGGGTCAGCAATTTCGAATGAGGCTGTTAGATGGGCTGTTCCAATATCTGGGGCATGAACGTACCTAGTGTAAACGGACCAAAACAGTTGCCATATAAAGTTGAGGGAGCATAGCTAGCGATGCTGTAGGAGTCAGCTAAGTCCCACCCATTGACGACGAGGGTGCATAAGCGGTCTTCACAGGATCCAGGTGCTTTACGACTGACCTTGGAGAAGTCACTTACGATACCACATGCATTCTGCAAATGAAATGTACCCTACATTGCATCTTGATACAGTGTTGGGGTGAGTATGGGGGAGACGGAGAAGTAATACAGTATGGGGCGAGTGTGTACTTAACGATCATACGACGCACTGGGACTGAGAGACAAGTACAACAGAGAAGATGACGAGCCAAGTGGAGATGCGACAATGGATTAAAAAAAGAAACAGACATGATTGTGAAGGGTGGCTGGCCTAAGCAGTGGGGTCGGAAGACGTTGAGCTGGAGCTGGCGCCACTCTTCATGAGCTCTGCGAGTTGAATCTTGAGTCGAAGGGTTTCGGCCTCCCTCATGAAGGCATTTTCTTCGGCATTCTTCAGCTTGATATCAAGCTTCCGGAGCTCCTGCTCCCTTTGATGCTTATCCTCCACGTCTTTCCACTGCATCCTGAGTTGCTCCTTCCTCAACTCGAGCTCCCGATCCTTCAGCATATACTGCATTTTCGCCAGGTACTGCGCAGTCTTACCAAAAGACGAGGATGCTAGTATCGACTCAGCCTCTTGACTCATGTCGATGACCTGGCTTTGAAGTTGAGACTTGTTGCGAGTGACTGGGAGAGAACTTGCCTCCGTTGATGTTGTCTTGGATGATGAGGACCATGGGGTCCTCACAACAGCCTTCCCCTTGTGGGAAGAGCTAGATGATGACGATGCAGAGGAAATGACGCTTCTGGTGGAAGTGGGGGGACGAAGGTATGGTGATTGGTGGAATGCAGAGCGATTATCCAAGAAAGGTGTGCAAGACTTGCGAGGGAGGGAAAATTGAGACTGCACCTCAGGAGTCAATGGCTGAGGATATGACTGCTGATTCATTAACAACGATCCATTAGTGATGTCCCAATAGAAACACACCTGATCACTGTGAACCGACACCGAGTCCATGTTAACATCCTCTCCATCTCCAAAGCCGGGGTCTGTGCCTTCCAGATCAAAGATACTATCAGCAAATTCATCCCCCTCGTTCACGACTAGATCACCAACATGAGATGTCCTCTCATTGACTTCACCATCCTCCAGATCTTGATCACTGTGCATTTCCTTGGTCCCAGTATTCGAAGGGGCACCTTCATCTGCCAGAGCGGCGGGTGACCCCACTCCCAAGTCTGAAGTCTTCTGCATACTGGATGATTTATTTTGGACAATGGCTAAAAAATCTTCAGCATGATTTTTGTCCAGCTTGGAATTAATTGGGTCAGAGTCGAAGGAGGGGTTGCCCTGCCAGATGGAATGCAGATCGTCATACCAGGGTAAAGTGTTGAGAACAGCTTCTGTAATCATACACATCAGCAACTGTAATCCCACTAGATAGATTGATAACTTACGATGGAGATTTGCGTAGCTTGTGTGACCAGGCATAATGCCTTCCCCTGATTGTTTAAAGCGTGCATGGCACTTGCGATATGATCCCTTCAGCCTAAATGATCGTTAAAAAATCACAAATAAAATATGAAGAGACTGATGTAGTGATGCAGTTGCCTACGCTAACTTGGAACTTAGCAGGGCCCACCATGTACATGTCCTTGTAGTAGGGATCATTCTTGAATACGACTTCAGCGATAATTGCTTGAACTTCTTTCTTGTTATGGCCCACTGGCCCCTCATCAGGTGAAGGTGGTGAGACGGTTGTGATCTTATCACTAAAAAGGATTCTCTGGTTTGTGGGATGGGTGAGCAACCAGTTGATGAGTATATCAGTACGAGGAACGTCCCAGTTGATGTTCTTCGGCTGAAGACCTTCTGTAGTAGATGCGTCACCAGTAGTGGTGACAGCCCGCTGGCTGGATGAAGCCGGGTTCTTTCCCTTGGTTCCGCCACGAGTAGATCTACTGCTCGATCCATGACCAGAGCCTGAATTCCCGGTGGGTCTGTCGGATCCTCCTCGATGGGCTTGTTCACTTGAAGATGCCATGGGCTGACCTGAGATTGCTTGCAGGCGAGCAGAGCGCTGAATGCGTGGTTGTAGAGGAGACATAACTTTTCAAACTCTGCAAGGCCAATGCCAGTTGCAGATGCCATTCCAGAACAATTCCAGAGCGCTTCCAGCGCCACCTTGAGCGCCACTATTGCCTGCTTATAGTGTGCACAGAGCTTGATCCATACACCTTCTCATGATTTAGAAAATCAACAAGGGTGGCTCGGAGGTCACATAGTCCAAACTTCTTGGCAGCACCATCAACACTAATGCGTTGCAAGGGTGGGTCATAGGAAAGGTTGATTGCCATACTGTCTGTGATAAAACTATGCAAGGGGAAGGGAATGGAGTCTGGATCCTGGGTCCTGAGGTGTGCAGAGATGGTGAAGTAATCAGTGACAGGCCATGCAGGACCTGGCATCTTGGAAACCAGATCTGCCTCCTCATGATCACTGATCTCACTGTCGCCATCATCAGAACTCCCATCCTCAACCTCCAAGGACTTTTCTTCTGCACAACCATGGGAGTGAGTCTTCAATTCATATAATGATGTTGTGAGTTCAAATGTCCTACATTTTTCAGTGTGATTGAGGTACTGGCAAATTTGAGGATCATAGTTATTGTTATTGCTAGCTGATGTGGGTGTCTTGATCTCTGATACATGGGCATGTTCAGTTACATCAGCAGTCCATTGGATGGTGACCCCAACATGCTTCACACTTGGTACAATGCTCTGCATGAGTTCTAACTTGGGGATGTGCCAATTGTTGATGGGCTTGTTTCCCTTACCATGTCATGCACCATGATTGAGTATCAACTGCTTGTGTGTGTGAAACTTGTCCAGTACAGAAGATATTATATGAAGATCATCATTGTCAATGTGGTAAGCTTGGACTTGGTATCAGAAGTCCATGAGTGCACAAATAGCAGTAATAATTTTGGGAGGGGCTGCTCCAGTGATAACACTGATGATGTAATGTTGGACATCATGGTGCACATGCCCAGTCACCTGCTTCAGCTTAGCAACACCACCTTTAAAGTGATGGAACCCCACAGTAGGCTGTAAAACTGAAAAGCAAAAGTTGATTTTGGCTTCACCAACCACATTTATGCACCACTTCATGTCATGGTCCCAAAATTCCTTGTGCAGTTGGTAAAGGGGCTCTGGAGTTATAAAAGTGCTTGGACAAGAAAGCAGAATGTCCCTCCAAAATGGGTCACTAACTCTGCTGAGGCAAAAGTGCTGTGCTTCATGAAAGAAGACTTGGATGTTTGTAGGGTGGACCTTCGATCTCACCACTGCGAGCTGAGCCAAAGTGGTGGATGCAGTTTGTGGCTCATGTCGGAATGGGTCTCTGAACTGTTTGTACATCACCATGGTGATTGGGGAAGTCTTTCCCCCAACAGCTGCAAGCATGGCAGCCTCAGGAGTGTCAGCAATATAACCTGTGATTGGCATGAAACAGTACCACATGTGCCCCAGAGAATCCAGTAACATAATGCTGAGTTTGACAGCTTGCTTGATGGGTTCAAGTACAATATCCAGGCATTCATGAATGAGCCTATCTTTGAGGAGGCCACACATACACTTGTTCTTGTGCATGAACTTGGGGACAGGAAGGAGAGTGGCAAGTATAAATGAGTTGGATGACAATTTTAGGCATGTGGACATCTTGATATTTGCTAGGCTGACAAGAAGTGGATGAGCAACTCTGCCACCACATACAGAAGTAATATTTGTCTTGTCTGAAGAAAGTATCATGCCAAGAAGAGTTGCTCCACTCAGAAGCTGTGACTGGGGTATGTCAATTGAATAAAAGGATCTATAACTTGCAGTGGAAACATACCTGCATACACCAAGCATCATCAGCAGTCATCCACTCTGTATACACCCTACAAAGCTTCTTGGGTGTATTGTATACATGCCTTGGAATGAAATCAAGCTGGTCAGAGAACAAAGGGTGGTTGAGGAGCCATGCAATGCATTCCAGGGGATCATGCTGGTACAAGTGCACAGGGTGTTTGGTTGGCTGCAAAGGAGTAATCTCCATTGAGCACCAGTGTGGCCCACCAGGGAGTAACTCAGCCAGCCCACAAAGTGCTCTGGCTGTATGAAGGGAAATATTTAGTAGCTGTATCTGGCACACATCAATAATGATCTTTGGAGAGAATAGGGACAGGCTTATGATTGACAGTGACAAGAAAGAGTCTATAGCTCTCATGCTCAGGCCTGAATGAAGTAACCATGATGCCAGCTCCCATTCATTGTGGGAGTTGAAGGGGTAGTACAGATTTGATGCCTGTAGGTTGCTGAACTGGTCACTGTTAAATTTGTCCATAAACATTGGGCCAAGTCCGAATGTTTTAGCTGCACCCTTGAAGTTGTCTGTGGTTGGCCCCCACATGTCAAATGCCATATGAACAAAATCCAGGTAATTGTGAGTTGCATAGTCATCGGGGTCAGTGCTCATCAGGACATCTTCTAAGTGTGTTGGGTGTTGAGAGTTATGAATGTTCAAGCTCGAAGGTTGGAGAGACTTGTGAAGGCAGACTAAGTTATTGACCCAGGTATTGCACCCAGAGGACAGCTGGCTCATGTGCATTGCAACAGCACTGTGACTCTGGAAGCCACCTTTACTACAACTTGGACAGTGGGGCATACTCTAGATGGTCGGGCAGGCCAATTCCATGTTATGTGATTATCACTTCAGTGTGAAACAGGACATTGTTCGGATCGCTACAGAGTGTATTTCTCATATACTACCCAATCACATCCCATTCACAAACATAGTCACTCATGTCTGTTTATAACCTCAATCACACACACCTTCATGCTGGATCGACCATGCCCACAGTTGAGTGTCACCCAGGTGGCAAAGGACTGCCCCATAAGCCTTGTGGTGGCAGGTTCTCTTCCTGCAACAGTCCCTCTAGCAGTGCCAAGGTCAAAGCAGAGACAACTGGTGTCTTAGCTGAGAGCTATGAGTTACTAATACATTTTTTTGTTTTGCTGATGTAGTGCTTACCTTGATGGTGTCATTGACCTTGTGGAAAACACAGGGAGGCATCTTGGCTGCTGTTGTGGGTTGAGAGGGCTTAGGTGGCAGCAGAAGAGACCAGTTAGTGGTAAGGATCTGGGGACTGAGCTTGGGTGTGCAGATGACAAGAACTAGCTTACCTCGACCCCATCGAAGACTTCCTTTGACTTATTCTTCCCCTTGGGAAGTGCAGATCCTCCTCGATGGGACTGAACCCAGGATCCACTCACACCAGCTGTGGAGTTGCCCATAGAAACATCATCAACCTGTCATGGCTAGTAAGACTGAGGGCAATCTATGGAATCAAGCACACTCACTAGTTGAGAGACATCCTCACTCTTCATGGCCTCCAGGCAATGTGCAATCTCATTGCTGATAGACTTTGCATCTCACTGCACCTCCCTGAGCAGTTTAGTGACCATCTCATTGGTACTCGGAATCTCCAGCTGTTCAGAGCTAGCCTCCTTGGCTAAGGAGTCTATGTTGGCCTGAGGTGGGGTCAGGGGGACCACACAGGATGGGAATATCAGACATACCCAAGCACCAGTCCAATGTTCCAGCCAGTGCTTCATGTTGTACTTGTCACTGTCATGAGGAGGAGTCATGAGTGTGTGAGCTCGAGTGTGCTTGATGGTGTTGGTCCATTGACTTGCGAAGTCAGATAGCTTGGTTGGGGAGTCTGACAATGTCGCAGGAGGCATGCTAGGGAAGATAGCATTAGCAAAAGACATGGTGGAGGTTGAGGTCAAGAAAAGAGGTTGGCAGTTGACAACCACAAGGCAGTGCAAGTCTTAAAGTACTCATGACCTCATGGAAGCCATGCACACCACATGATGCCTAGTGGTGCCAGTGGGGCAACTGAGGATGGTTGCAATTGAGAGACCCCATTGGGTGTGGGGAGTTGAGACTCCCTACACTACTTTGTGTGAGAAGGACACATCAAGTGATGGGTGTGCACATCAGACAGTTCACACAGATTGATGAGTCATCAAGTCACATATGAGATTGCATGTGATGACTGTCAATCCTTGCTTGTCAATACATGTGGCTAGCCATGTGAGCCTATCAAATAGTCTCACAAAACTCGAGTGGCCCTCGATGGGCCAGTCTTGAACCCTGCGAAGTCCTTACCATCATGTTCCCACTTTGCTTCACTCACATCATCCTTGTTTGGCACACTACTTGGTACCAGATCAATTCTTCTCTCTTACTGTCATTCTGTCAGGGACTCTGTCCATAGGCTAACATTGCTTGTAGAGGTTACCCTGAGTCTGCTCGTACCCACCCTGAAAACCCTTCTGCTTCTGCTACACTATTTCGCTGGCAGGTATTGTATGGTAGAAAAAACTTTTTGAAACCCAATTAGAATTGGATTGGAAAAATTCTCTGCAGAACACAACATCAAAAGACACCTTGTGATGACTTCAACAATTCATATTCCTCAACCTTCTCCTTCTTGCCTCTTTTTGCTCTTGTGCTAGTCTAGGTTCCCTCAGGACAATCCTAGGCAGACTCATTGACTCACCTACAGCCTATCACTATTCTAGCTGGGAGAGATTTGGCTCCCCACACTGGTCTCTGGTGCTATGTTACACTTAGTTTACCTCTAGTATTTAAGCTGCAGGATAATCTGTTTAGCCTCAGTCTGAAATCAATCTAGTCTCATCTAACCTGGTCTCTCTGATCTCTGTCTTCTGCCTCTTGACCAGACTATGGCCCATGCAAGAGAATAGTGCTGCACCTTCAGTCACTAAGTCCAATAGTCCAAACAGTCTAGTATCTCATATTACCCTCTGACCCCTGACTGGACTCTGGACCAGCTTTGGACCAGTGATGAACTGGACTTAACAGTATTTCAGACTCACACTTGTGTGGGTCACTACCCTTCTGTCCAAACCTCAGCAACACCTCCTTGGCATGCCTACTCAGACTAGAACTCAAGCAGCACAGGCACATGCTACCACCAATCCAGATTCCACCTCAGCTATTGACTTGTGCCACACCACTGCCCTGGTGTCCTTAGGGACAGCCAGAAGGTCTCCCAGTGAAGTCAATAACTTCAGGGGCTTTTCAGCCTGCAAATCTACCACTCCCACTTCTAATCTACCTCCCACACTCACTAATGATCCAGATGATGAACCAGATGATCTTAATCCTGGTGGTGATGACCCCAGTGATGATGGTCCTGGTGATGATGGGCCAGGAGAGGACCTGGATAATGATGATGAAGACCCTCTCCATGAGGATGATGTTGAGCCTGGTGTAACTGTGCTTGACAACCTTGCTAACACTATAAAGCTCCTCACATGAAATCCTTGCACCAGCTCTGAATCATCTTCTAGGACCAAGTTGTGTGAACCAGACACCTTTGATGGGACAGACCCAAAGAAGCTGCATGCTTTTCTTATCCAGTGCGAACTTAACATCTGGGACCAGCCCCAGGCCTTTCAAAGTGACCAGGCCAAGGTCACCTTCACACAGTCATTCCTGAAGGGGATGGCTCTTGAATGCTTTGAACCAGATCTACTTGGGACTGAAGACCCAGAAGACCAGCCCTACTGGATGGACTCATGGAAAGAGTTTGTCATAAAGCTCCAGCCTACCTTTGGACCTCATGACCTGGTGGCTGATGCTGAAAGCCAGCTAGACCACCTGCAAATGAAAGAGAATCACCTGGTCAACAAGTATGTAGTCAAGTTCAACCAATTGGCCTCCCAATTCCAGGGATATGGTGATGGTGCTCTGCACCACTTCTTCTACACCAGTCTCCCTGACTGCATCAAAGATGAGGTCTGCTGGGTGGGCAAACCCAGAACCCTGCATGAGCTTCACCACTTGGCTCAGGAGATTGGCATGCACTACTGGGAACACAAAGAGGAGATTCAGTGGTCCAGTAAGAACCAGGGGTCATCCTCTGGTAACAAGTCAACTCCCAACCCCAGTCACAGCACCCAGTCCAAGCCCAGTCAAGAGAAATCCAAGACCAGTGATAATTCCAGAAATGGCAACTCTGGTAGCCAGCCCTTGTCCAAACCTGCCTCAACCAGTCAGACTGGCTCTAATTCATCCAAGCTGGACTCAAGCAAGTTGGGCAAAGATGGCAAGCTGACACTGGAGGAGTGCAAGTGGTGCAGAGACAACAACCTCTGCATGTTTTGTGGGGGCACTGGGCATTTCACAGATAAGTGTCCCAAGAAAGCTGGCAAAGCCAAAGCTCATGCTGTGGCCACCTCTGAGGCAACACCAGCCTCAACCCCAGGCTCTGCCCCTGAGGCAAAAAAAATAGGTAACAGCTCTCAGGACTCTGCACAGACTGAGAGCTGCATTGACTCCAGCTGTGCACTCACAGAGGCTTGTCTCAATGCATCCACTCTTTCCAATCCAAATTCATCAACTCCCCATGTTTCTATTGTCAGTCACAGTTTGCCCCAGTTTCAAACTCTAGTGGACTCTGGTTCCACACATAGATAAAGAATTTGCCAATCAACACTCATTTAACCCTTACTCCATACCCCCTATCCAACTCTGGCTCTTTGATGGGTCATCAAGTTTCATTATCACTCAAGCAATAGATCTTTCAGTTCAATTTGTGACTGGTGATGTCACCCCAGTAACCCTGTTTTTAGCCCCATTGGATTCTGAATGTAAGATGGTCCTTGGACATGACTGGCTCACCTGCTACAATCTGTTGATTGATTGGGTACTGAGCAGTCTGACTTTCCAGACATCTACAGGAGGAATGCCAACCCTGTTGACAACCCCTGCCACACTGGTCTTAACTGGTCTTTTCAATCCAGCTCTACCTGACCAACCCAACCCTGGCCCTGCACCATCTGTACTGTCTGTCAACTCACCAGTTTGCACCCCCCTGAAAGCTCCCCCTGTTGCCCTGATTAATGCAGCTGAATATGTATGCACTTGCAAGCTAGAGGGATCTACCCAATTCCAACTTCATCTATGCCCACTGGACTTGGCTGGTGTACCAAAGGACTACCATGACTTTGCTGACATCTTTAGCAAATCCAAGGCATCTACTCTCCCACCCCACCAGGAGTACCTTAAGATCAAACTGGAAGAGGGTACTACACCACCCATTGGAACCATCTACTTGCTATCCCCAGTCAAGCTGCAAGCTCTCCAGACATTCATTGATGAAAACCTGACTCCCAGTGTCATCTGGCCCACTTCTTCCCCCTACACTGCACCAGTCCTCTTCATAAAGAAGAAGGATGGCTCACTCTGGTTATGTGTTGATTTCCAGGGCCTTAACAAGCTCACCAAGAAAGACTGGTACCCCCTACCACTAATATCCAATCTACTCAACTCCCCTAGTCATGCCAAAATCTACACTAAAATCAACTTGAGGCATGCATACCACCTCATCTGGATTGCACCTGGTGATGAGTGGAAAACAGCCTTTAGAACATGCTATGGGTCTTAAGAGTGGTTGGTGATGCCTTTCAGTCTTACCAATGTCCTGGCCACCTTCCAGCAGTTCATCAATTCAATCTTTGCAGATATGCTAGATGTGTGCATTGTCATCTACCTTGATGACATCCTGATCTACTCTGGAGATGAGTCTTCTCACAAGTAGCATGTCCAGGAAGTGCTTTGCCAGCTCCAGTTACATGGCCTATATGCCAAACTGGAGAAGTGCAAAGTTCACTTGGACTCTGTGGAATATCTGGGCTACCACTTGTCCCTGACTGGCCTTAGCATGTCTTCAGAGAAAGTCAAAGCCATCTGTGATTGGCCTGAGCCCTGGAAGGTAAAGGACATTCAGTCCTTCCTGGGCTTTGCCAATTTCTATTGCTGGTTCATTTTTAACTACTCAGACATAGTGGTACCTTTAACCTGGTTGACACACAAAGGTGCTCCCTGGAACTTCTCCAAGGAGTGCCACTGGTCTTTCAACAAACTCAAGCAGGCCTTCACCACTGCCCCAGTCCTAACTCATTTTTCCCTGGATGCTCCTATTACTGTTGAGACTGATGCATCTGACTATGCCATAGCTGGTATTTTGTCCATCTCATCACTGTACCAGTGCAGACTGGTCTCTGGTGCTATGTTACAGTTAGTTTACCTCTAGTATTTAAGCCATAGGATAATCTGTTTAGCCTCAGTCTGAAATCAATCTAGTCTTGTCTAACCCAGTCTCTCTGATCTCTGTCTTCTGCCTCTCAACTGAACTATGGCCCATGCAAGGGAATAGCACTGTGCCTTCAGTCACTAAGTCCAATAGTCCAAACAGTCTAGTATCTTGTATTACCCTCTGACCCCAACTGGACTCCAGACCAACTTTGGACTGGTGACAAACCAGACTTAACAGCCTCCCTTGGCTACAAGAGAACAACCCTGTCATTGACTGGAGAATGGGAACCCTCTCTATCAATGAAAAGACTGACAGATCAAAAGAGCTGCCACACAATGTCTCCTCCATTGCTATTGAGGAACCCACCATGAACCTTGTGCCCCCTGTTGAAAAGAAAGGGATAACCAAGTTCATGGATTATGAAGAACCAGAGGATGAAACAATACATGCTCATTTTGTAATGGCACTCAGAAAACTCATTGAGGAAGCCAAGAAGACCAATCCAAAGAGCAGTCTTCTTAGGAAAATCACCACTGCCATGGAACTAGCACAAGAAGAAGCAAAGAAGAAACCAAAAGCAGTACTCCCTGAAGATTGTAAGGAGTTTGCCTCTGTTTTCAAGAAGCCTTCCAATGGAGT